TGCGTACTACTCCTGAGTCCAATTTAAACTGTGTTGATAAAAATAAGAAATAACTTCATAACTTCTTAGTAACTGGCATCAGTGAGATCAAAACTTCTCCAGTGCTGTGCATATTCACCAACAAACCACTGGAATATTTAAGAACGTGCACTGTGCTTCCAAATTAAAAGTGTATAGTCCGAAGGATGCACAGCCTTCATGCAGCATTCCCATCTGTGCAAAGGCTGTAAAAAAATTACTAACGGTCTTCTCAAAAATCAGAGAGAGAAAAAGCAATACATTTCAACGTGAAAAATCAATGCAAACTACTGAGAAATTGGTGTCTGGGTCTTTATTTTTTTTATAAAAAACTTTTAACTTCCCCTAATTTTTGTGACTCCTTAATAGATTTTGGCCAATTTAGAAAAAAATTGCTCCTAAATATCACACATGCACACAGAGGGGGTTTCCAGAGGTCCAGGCAGTGTCCATGCAGACTGCTCTTCTCAAGCAACATAGCCGCTAAAGCTATATCTTTGGTCTGAAATGCCATTTTTTAACTGCACGAAAAGCCTATTACAGCACTTTAAATGCACTTGCTTCTCACAGTCTTGCCTTCAAGGCTGAAATGCCTGTAAAAAGGGGGATAAGAAATGTAAAAACCACATCTTTCAATTCTGTCAGCAGCTCTGCAAAGCTGGGTGGAGTACTGTGATCGCTGCTGTGCTCCTGCATTCATGCAATAAATCTTGCACCAAGACTGGCGAAGCTCTTCTATGAACTTTGTCAGGATACAACTAAAACTAAAGATGAATTAATTTACTCACAATTTCAAAGGCAAAGGAGCAGGAACAGAACATTCAGGATGCAGAATGTACAGCAGTATATGAGATTTTATCAGGATACTACCTCTGCAGGATAGAAGCCACTTAATAACGCTTTCACAGTCTCACAGTGAGACACTATACTAAATATAGAAATCTTTAGTAGTTGCCTTACTCCCAATAATTCCCAAGAGACCACTTGCAATACAGCCCAGCTAGCATTTACTCTCCTCTCTTGGGCCATTTGATGCAGCCAGCATTCCAGTCCCCTGTTCGACAACCCCAGCCAAAGACACTGCCTTCTGGGGAAATTAAACTGTGGCTTTTTGATGGTAGATGAAGAGTGCCTGAGGCTTGAGGATCCTCATATTACTACTGTGATATATTTCCAATTTTGACAAAGGAAAAAAGGATAGGAGAGAGAGGTGAATGTCTTGGAGAGACTAAGAATTATTCATTAAATTCTACAAACTTGGGCCTCTGGTGATGAAAATGCTTTTCTACAGCACTGCTATCAGTGAGAAGTCACTTCCACTTGTGGCCTTGCAAGGAGAGGGGAAGAGTTGTACCTCAGGACGTTTTTATGGATTTTATATCCACATTCCAAGCTACTGCAAAGCTTCTCTACAAGATCCTGCAACACAAGTAGACAGACGTGCCCACAGAAAACTCTTAAGATCAGCAGGACGAGGAGGAAAATAGCAGAAATCAGTATGACTTTTAGATGCAGTTCTCATTAGCTATCTGTCAGATCCATTAATGAAATCTGTGTTACATTTAGCTCCACGCACAAGTCATTATCAGCAAAATTACTGGTCCGAAAAGAACAGTTTTACCCTTATGAAGATTTTTTCATGGCATTTTTCATCTATGTGAACTACAGTCCCTTATATGTTTGTGTGTACATGCACATACTAAGCATATTTTTCCCTATTGGTTTTTATTGCTCGCCTGTATGTTGTTTGAGTCATTCTGCTTAATACGGGATTTCAATATGTCCTGACAATGAGGGACCTCACGTGGGTTCTGCTCTCATTTCTTCATTTTTACTTGAAACATTTATAAACCAAATGGACAAAACAGAAGAAATGCACTACAGGGGACTGAGGTGAGCAGCTATCAAACAAAGAATGATCTCCACAGCTGAGCCTTTTCCAGAAAGTAATACAATCCAGGGGCTCTTCAGAAACAAGTATTTTGGCTTTTTTTCCTGTCAGTATCAGCCCTATTTTAAGATTCTTTTTAAATAACAGTCCGCAGTGCAGGACAAAAGAGTGAGTTCATCACTTTCTATCCAAACTTTAAGCAGAGTCAGCTGTTCTATAGCTGAATAGACACGTACATATTAACTACTGTAATATTTTCTTTTCGGTTATCTATCTTCCACAGTTGTAGCTCTCCTCCATTACATTGTGGAAGATAACATTAAACAATACAGTTGTGCATTATACAACACATCTGTAATATCATTATATAACTTGTGTAAGATGCTTTGTGCATTGCAAATAGGAAAAACAATTCCCGGAGAACGTTTCAGTATTTCTTACTACAAGTAAAAGACTTATCATACATAGGTTACTTGCCACTAAAAACGCTTGTCAGAGTCCAGTTGTAACATGAAAAAGATCTTTCTCAAGACATGGAGACCCGCTGAAGCACACAGAAGCACCACAAAACTAAATACAGACCCCCTGGCTTCCCCTTTCTAAACCAATCAGAAATTAAGATTCAATTCATACTTACTGTTTTATATATGATATTTCAGCACCAGATTATTTTCAGTATGCTGAAGTCATCAATCCTCTTGCAGGCTCCCTGACAACTTAGAGTGTATTATTAATTTCTTTAAGGTTGATTTTGCGTGAAAGCTTCGGGGCAGGGTCCCTTTCTTCATTTATTGAATTAAACCAGAGGAATTTAATACATCTTCCACAGCCCTAAATACTGAAGTTTCTTAACCACAGGGGCTTTTTTTTTCTTTAAACAGTTACCAGAAACAAGATACCAAAATAACTATGATTATTGATGACAGTGATCATCCTCCTCTGAAAATAAAGATGATCCTTCAGTACATCCCCTAGATTCTACACCAATGGCTAGAACATTGCATATCCATGTAGAAAAGCCCTTGCTAAAAACATTTTGCTATTTTCCTATCTTCATTTTAAACAGCAGATGTGAAAGTCCATCCATGTGACAACAGTCCACAGGACTCAAGATCTCTTATCTTCAAGATCAGTTTTCTGATAGCACACACGTTAAACTAGCAAACTGAAAAGTTGCTCTTGCCGACAACTGCTGCCTCACTAGCAAGCGCGAACCTCTGCATTAACAACTCCCCCAAATAGTGCTCTAGCATAAAAACGGCAATGAAGGCACAGAGGTTAATCCTGGCCAGTACTTCCTCGTGGTTTCCCTGGCCTACCAACAACATCCATAGGTTTTATTTGGACTGAGAACCTTCTGTCTAGCTCTGCCTGTAAACTACAAGGTTCCTGCTTATAGCCCAACATTCTGGCTGGAATGGGTACCACAAAAACCATATCTGTGTATCATTAGCATGTTAATATGGTGCATATTTTCTCTGCTGTGTTATCTCTTTGACCCTACAGGTATCCTCATCTACATATTGAGCAAAGTGGTGGCAAAATAGAGCCATCTACTGCTTCCGTTTTGGAGAGCATTTGCTCCACAAGCCATTAGCCAGCTGATGGGTGCAGATCATAAAGTTTATTTACCTGTAGGTGGAGTGGAGGCACAGCCAACTGCCCAGCCCAGTAAGCAGAGGCTATCCACTTTGGCTTGGGTAACAGACATTTCTCCATTAGGTGGCTGGTGTCCCAGGATGGCTCTGCACCTCTTCATTGTCTACTATTTACCAACTTTTGCCTGTTGGTGGGAGCGTGCCAATGCAAAAGGCTGAACAGAAAGTACGATCATCACAGCACTGTGGCCTGTCAAAAGGTTTCCATGAAAGACTGTTTAAAGCTGGTGTAAGCGGCCCTCAAAGGATTTTACCATCAAATAAAAGAATTCAAATGGGTGAAACACAGTTAACAGAAATGTCCTACCTTTGGCTGGCACAGGGACTAGCTTTGATAGAGTTGCACTATCCCTTTATCCTGACCACATCTGGGCTTCTCTAGTAGTTCTGTTCCACAATCTAGAATTGCCTGAAGACTAAGCTATGTAGGGGCATGAGATACATGGAGATCAGCACGGTATTGTGGACACAAAAACCCACCTTTGCATTTCCCCTGCCAAACTGCAATGACAGCTCTTCAAACACCATCACGAATCTGAGTCAAAAAGTAAAAACATTCATATATGGAATCCTTTGTAAAAGAAGCTTGCCCTGCTGGGAAAGGACAATGCAGAAACGAGAAGAGAAGAGATCAAAATGAAGAGAGAGACAGTATCTATGGGGAAAGAGGTCAGAGAGCATGGGAAAAAGAAATGTGAACTCAGTAATGGAAAACGAGTATTGAAAAGATAACAACTGAGCAATAATTAACAAACAAAGAGAAACTAATTAAGTTTTAATATAAGCAATATCCAGAGACACTAACGCAGAAAATCACTGAGAAATATATAACAAATTAAAGGAGAATAGAATAGTAAGGAGACATGGGTGAAAAAGCACCAAATTTGTGTAATCAGGGCTCTACTATTAGACTGTACAAGAGTAGAGTCCTGAAAATACCATTGTGAGTAGTAATCTTTGGTTAAAAGTCATTCTGAATGCGAAACAAAGTGGGGAAAAAACTTCTCACATTCTAATCCAAGCTGTGACCTTCAATTTTTGTACTGTCATGAAACAGCCTCTAATGCACAACACTACCAAAAAGATACATGATGTGATGTTTGCATAATTCTTTGAAGGTGAGCAATGGCAAGTTGATAGAAATTGACAGAAGATCCACAAGTCAAACAAAGCTGTTCCAAGTTACTCTCTACACACAATGAAGATACAGCTGTGTTTTTATCTTAAGTGATACAGCCACACCAC